CTGGTCGGGGATTCCATCCAGCAATCTTTCAATCAAGTGTGCTTCCCTAACCATTAAGCCATAACATAGTGCTGCTGTATCCATTTATTTATTGGTGCCTCTTCTTCACATACATGCATAGAGTAGAGTGTCAGACACACACTCTGTACTCACTTCAGCTTCTCCAGTTTACAGCTGGGATCCTCCAGTACAGCAGAGAGCAGCTTCACTCCTGAGTCTCCTGGGTGATTGTAGCTCAGATCCAGCTCTCTCAGGTATGAGGGGTTTGACCTCACAGCTGAACCCAGGGAAGAACAGCCTTCTTCTGTGACTCTACAGCCTGACAGCCTGCAGGGAGACAGACAAAACTCTCTAATAAATAATATCATCTCACCATTAAAAGTATTACTTTTAAACTAATGTGTCTGGTCTAATAAATATTTAAATGATTGCAGTTTACAGCATGGAATACTGAATAATACTGACCTCAGTATTTCCTATTTACAGTGTGGAATACTGTCTCAGTTGTACTGTCAAATACCCATGGCCAGTGGTTTAACCTGTGTGCCAGTTGCAGTGTCATTGTGAAATACCAGTTTACTATTTGACCTGACAAATATGACTAACCTCAGTATCTCCAGTTTACAGTGCGGAATACCAAGTAATACTGACCTCAGTATCCCCAGTTTACAGTGATAATCCCCCAGTCCAGCAGAGAGCAGCTTCACTCCTGAATCCTGCAGGTCATTGTCACTCAGGTCCAGCTCTCTCAGAGGTGAGGAGTTTGATCTGAGAGCTGAAGCAAGCGCCTCACAGCATTTCTCTGTGAGATTACAGCTGTTCAGCCTGGAAAAGGAGCCGTGTTATTATACGCAGATAGACCAGTATATATCCTACACATCAGTGATCATTGTGATACAAAATATCCAAGCAAATGTTTTTCAGCATAATTAGAGGCACAGAATACAGTTCAAAGAGAATTAGTAGCTAAACACAACACCACATTAAATCACCACAATTTATTAAAGTTTAAGTTTAAATTTAAGATTAAATATCGTACATTTTTCATTTTGGCCAATCCTCCGATGGTCATCATGTTCCATGTCACGAAGAATACAGTCAACATTTTCATTTCAAAGCACAAATGTCTTGAAAGGTTTTATATGCAGAATATTCAGGAACAGGATCAATCTACTTAAATGAGCATCTGTTGGCACAATACAGGTTCTCCTGTCAGTTTACTGTGTATTTTGGCCATTTCTTGCAGTCATACACTGTAAAAAAAAAAATGTTCAGCCAACTCAAAAATTCAAGGCAAAATGCTGCGATAACATTTTTGAGTTAAGTCAACTCAGTTACAAAAGTTCAACAAATTACCTATAGACAGAGGTTCAGCTAACTTTGACTTAAGAGTTAAGGCAACACTAATACAAGTTAGATTAACCTACACTGTAAAAAAAAAAGTTCAGTCAACTCAAAAATTCAAGGCAACATGCTGCAATACATTTTTGAGTTAAGTCAACTCAGTTACAAAAGTTCAACAAACC